ATAATATATTGCTGTTAGTTTAGTTTATTAATTGTGGTTCCCTTAGTTTGTCAAATGTACTACATATGTATGATTCATCAAATTTTGTTTAAAATTTTATTGATTAAAACAATTGCAGTTATTTTTTATTTATACGATTTATTAGAATAATTCAGTTACGTTTCTTTCGTATTGGTAGTAGTTTGGGAAACTAGAATTAACAATTTTACTATATATTTTTAGTAATAATAAAAACGCATATTTGATTACTATAGTTCTACTTTATTTGTTTTTTTACATCAACGTTTCAGCCCACAGGCCATTATCATGGGAAGAAAAATCTATTAATAATTAAAAATCATTATGGACTGATTTTTCCTTTGCGACTCCATTTAACTAGTCAAACTAATTAAAGTATGACTACTGTGATCAAATATGTGGTTTTATTAATACTATTAATGTGAAGTCCTGACCTACAAATTTGAATACATATATTTAATATATATTTTTTATTAGGTTGAACAATAAAACTAACGAATTTTGAAACTAATGGTCAGAAACCCAAAATAGTAACTTAAAACTAGTCATTCAAGTTTGTAGGTTTAAAACAAAAATAAGAAGTGTAAAATTGTCCCTGAATAGAACTTTTATGCATTATATTAGATTAGAAAAGATCTTTATATGATAATGAAGATAAGGAAATGATTATAATAGAGATAGATGCTTTAAATATAAAGAGAAATGTGGTGTTATTACACTTTATTTAGCATTAAGATTATTTCTTCTTTCAATATTTGATCTAAAACAAAAGTTAAAGTAAAAATCTCAAGACTAGTTAGGCGAACGAATTGGGAAAAAATATTGCCCTAGAAACCCAGAAAAATTCTGACAAACTATTATTGACTACCCGATCTCATTGTGACACTTAGTTAAGGTTTTACCGTAATCACCTAGTCACTGGTTGTTTAGCTCCTGTAAATAGTTTCTTTGAAATTTTTACAGAGCTTAATCAGCAATTTATTTCACTGCGGGAGATATTTGCTGGATTTTCTCACACTGAGTGGGCAACCGTTTTTGCCGTCAGCTTTTAAGAACTTGAGGTGCTTTCTTAGTTCAATGCCCTCTGAAAGTATCTGTTAAATAGTACATATCATCGTCTGTCTTGCGTAAAATTTAGGAAAAGATAAAATAATCTAAGAACGAAACATTTTTTTTTTACTTAAGTAGTAGTCCGTGGTGCAGACCCCTTTTAATCAAATCATTAACATCTGGCATTCTTCGTAAATAGGTTCACCTCCTCGTATTCTAAAAATATTTTATTTATGAAAATACTCGCATTTGAGGCGTTTTCAATCTGTAGGTCGTCAAATTTTGTTTATTTAATTAGGGACTAAAAACTCGTAAATACCCTTTTGTTTTGCACTTGGCTATGTAAGATAATTTCATCACAAAATCATTAAAAAAAGGTGGCCGCCAAAAATATTGGGCCAAAATGTCACGCCAAACGGCTCAATATTTTTGAAGGTCACCTTTTCACACAACTTTTTGTCGAAATTATGTTACGATTCAAGTGGAAAGCAAATGGGTACTTACGAGTTTTTAGTCCCTAATTAAGTAAACAAAGTTTACCGACCGACAGATTGAATTCGCTCAGTTCCGAGAATTTCCGTAAATAAAATATTTGTAGGTTACGATGAGATGAACCTATTTACGAAGTTTCAGATGTATGTCCATAATTTTATAAAAAAGTGTCTGTACCACGGATTTCCTACACCACCTAAGACAGATATCTTTGTATGATAAGTCTATCTCATTTTAATTTTTCCTCTTCTCTTATATACCACTTGAGTGTATTAACTATACTTGTAAATTTTTCTTTCAACTGATTAATTTATTAAGAACTTGTCAAATCATTTGATAAAAAGGGCTCTGTGCCATGGACTATAAAACTTTAATCTAAGCCAACTACCAGATGCACTCGACCCATTCCCAGAGGCAACATCTGGAGGGCCCTCTCAGTTAAGTAAGATGTCTATGCATTATATTTTTCCGAAAAATTGAGAAAATTATATAGTTTTGCGCAGCGTATGAATCTAATGCAGTATCTAATCTCATCGGAGTGATGGGGATTTTTTATAATACCTCTAATGTGATTATAGCGATATGATATTTAATACACCCTGATATGATACTTAATTTTCTTTTCCGCTACAATTCGGTAACCTTTGGATCAAATGAGTCAAAATTAGGTACGTAGAATTTCTTTCTAGGCTGAACAATAGCATAGAGTTGAGATTAAATTTCACTCAAAACTTTAGTATATCCAGGTGTGTTTCCACGTTTTTAAAGACTTCTAAAGTTTTACGAACCTACCAAATTAACTTAGAGTTTAAGATATGTTTGTGAATTAAGTTGATATTAGAGAAGTACCGTTCTTAGTTCTCAAGGTTTCTCATTTTTAGCGTCAGTCTTTGTATATCTGAACGACATCTCCAAATCGAGTTAGAGGTTCAAAATTTGAATGGTAATTGAGTTCTTGTTAAACAAGTCCTTTCTGGCAGCCTTTCAGCTCCCACCTCTCCATTTCGATAAATTAAATTTGGAAAACAATTACAAAACCTTTAAAAATAAAAGATAGGAAAAATGGGGAAATTACGATTTTTTTTTTGTTGAGAAAGCTTTTTATTTTATTAAATAAAAATCTGGATGTTACAAAACATATTTCATGACTTGATTCCATGTAAATTTTATTAATTGACAACATTTTTAATGAAATTAAATTTAAAAAAACATAAATTGAATGCGATTCCGCGATGTTCAAGAGACGGGACGGACAGTATACGGTAGAAAGCTGTAAAGGCCTCGAAACTGCCTTAGGAAAGTCTGTCTGTACTAGGATGGATCATATGAGTTTTTTGGATTGAAACATACTCAAATAAATTATAACAAATTATAAATTGAATTAATTATAATAAATTGTTAATTAAATTTAATAAGTAGATACTATATTTTTCATTTAGTGGGTAAACGTCCGTATGGATTTCATTATGACATGAAAGCCGGGTTACTTTACAACATACGATCTCATTCAAATAAATGCCTAACATTATTTCCTGAAATTGAATCCGCATCCGTTTCTGAATCAAGAGAACCGGAATAAGTAAAGGGAATTCCACCACTGATTTCATGACCTCTCTTCGATTTATCTAAAATAATTAGTTTGTGTAAAAATAAAAGAATAACAGATTTAAAGAAAACCATATTGTAATTCTCATCCAATTTCAAACATACCAATAGCATGTATAGTGCAGCAACAGCTCATTCTTCTGTTAGCCACCCACACACAGCTTCTAAACGGTAACGTTTAATATCTTCATATAAAGTAGAAGTTGTATAGTTAGAATTAATAGTAAGAATAGTTACTCTTAAGCAAGACTTTACAAATTATTAAAAGAAATTAGGAAAACGGTGAGAAATAGTATTAAAAAATATATAAAAATACTGGATTAGAAACTGCGTTGATATTGGGATAGAGCGTGTGAAAATGGTTCCTCCTGAAAAAACCAACACAATCAAATATAACAAAATCCCAAGTTTGTGTCGAAATTATTTGAAACTAAAAACAGTTTTAGGCGGAAAAGAGTGAATACATTTCCCTTTCTGTATTTCTCTTCATGACAACTGGAGTTTTCCCTTGGCGAATCGGGTTGAGCATTAGGCACCAGCGTGACGTTACATGAAGAAAAGGGGAACCAACTCAACTCTGCCACGGTTTTCTCAATACGCCGTATTTCAAGCTTTAAAAATGTGTATTAGCAATTCCAATGCAAATATGGCGAATGCATGCATAACATTAAATCGAGTCGAAGAGATTCATCTTGTTATTTAAGAATGATGGAAATATAAATCCAATAGCAACAATATTTCATTATATTTGGCCTTATTTTCAACCAAATAACCGTTTAAAACTGGAATGCAATCTAATGATCATTAAATGGATATTCCTTCTTATCAAATGTAATATAAACTGTATGCAAATGGTAAATAGGTGATAAATAGTCAGGACGCAGTCATTTTATGATTTTTATTGTTTCCAACGTTTTAACCCAAGCATGTGGGTCATCAGCATGGCTGAAAATTTTTTATAACAACAGAGATATAATACTTAAAACCATATAATAGTTAGTAATGGATGATACATGAGATAAAAAATTGGAATACTTAATAAGTTATACAAACTATAAAATACTATATAAAGAAAACTTTTGAGCGGCTTTTTTTTTTTTTTTTTTTTTTTTTTTTTTTTTTTTTTTTTTTTTTTTTTTCCTGTTCTTCCCTACCTCGCCTTTTAGGCTATACGGGATTTTCCCGGACCAGAGGGTGAGGGCGGGGAATTTAAAATCTCCTTTGGCACCGGGACATTCTTTTGAGCGGCTAAACTAAGCTAAGTTCTGTTTTTAAAAAAATCATATGTTATTCCCGTTTTTTTTTATCTTCCTCTGACTAGACCACACATATCCCCGTTTTAGAAAAACTTCTTCATTTAATAAGCTTTAAGTACATATCAATTAATTTAAGATTTATTGGGAAAAAAAACTTTAGATTCACCTCCAGTTGTGTACAAAAGTGATGTGATTTTATTTTATTTCTTGATCCGTGACTAATGGAACACCCTGTATATGTATACATACATATTAAATTGTATTTAACTGAATGTTTGTAGGAGAAAATGGCCATCAATTTACAAATTTGTAGTTCAAAGATCGCTATTCCAGCTCGTTCCTAAACATGTATCAGTAATCGTTTATGTAATATTTGGTTGCTGATTGTACAGATGCAAGGATGTTCAAGTGTCCCTGTCAGTTCTTATGGGCTATTAATAATGATATTGACATTATTCTAGTTTAAGTTAGTTACATTTTGGTTAACTTTCTACACATTTATTTTACAAAATAGATTAAATATTTATAGGTTTTATTTCACTTATTCATTTTTAAAATAATTTATTTTATTATTTTTGTAAAATATCATAAAATAAATAATAACATACAAAAAATAAAAAAAACTATATTGCTTAAAACCTAATATATGCCTATTAATCATAAATGATAAAAAATAAAAATAAAAACTGTAAAAAAGCACTAACTTCTTGACCTGTTTCAAAAAAACGGATTATCTTTAAACATTGGAGCTATCAGTTTTCATTAATAGATTCCCGTTTGTATAAGTTTCTTCAACCACATATTCTTTTCGTATAAGTTTTGGGGTGCCGTTATACCCTTTGAAGACTTCGTAGTCAATCAAGCAGGTCTGTGCTGACGTACTGGTAGAAAATGCTATGCCGGCACATGTAGCTTGTGACATCGTGTCAGTACCCTTTTCGTCCTGAAAAAATAATCATCAGAATTAATTTTTTTTTTTTATGATTTTCACCCTTGATTTGGTTAATTTTATATATAAGTATATATTATACAATATTGGGATGCAATAATGATAATTTATAAAAAGTTAATAATCACAATAATTAGGACTAATTATTGGACCCTTTTTTTTATCTCAGAAACAATAAAATTTTCTTTATCAAAAATAAAAAAAAACCTTATATTTGGTTAAATACTACATTTTTTTTTATCTTTTCGACCTTTTTGACCATTTTCAAATATTTTATAATCAACATCATAATTCCTGGGTGTAAATTGTTTTATATATTTTTATATATGTAGGATACAACCAAACAACAGTTTTTCAAAATTGTTTTTACAAACATTTTTGCTACTTATGTTTTTTTTAGAGTTCCTAAAAGGTTAATATTTGCTGTACCGAATGATAAACGTCCGAGGGATAGGCTAAAGCTAAGGTGGGAAGATTGCGTTAAAGCCGATCTGAAGGGACTGGATTTAGACAGCGAACGGTGGAGGGAGGTGGGTAATAAGATACTGGTGGTGTCGACATCGAACCTTCAGGTTCACTTAGCCTATTATTATTATTATGTTTTTTTAGGTATATAAAGATGTGTTATAATTTGTTAATTATTGTATTAATTAACTTTTTATAAATTAGATTTTTTAAGCTAAAGAATAGAATAGAAGGCTAGACTGTCTTTCACGTGATTATGTAATATTAAAAATAAAATTTAAATGAAGTATTACAAGAAACAAGAATCTAATTAAATTCGAAGCTGCAATTGTGACTTTGAATCAATTTTGAATTTTAATAACAACGAAAAAAAAAATGGTTTGTGCTTTAGATCACATAATAGAAGTGAATACATCGACACTGCGAGATTAATAATATGAAATAAAAGTTGTTTGTGTTATGTATTCACAAAGTAATAACATTTACAATTTATAAAATTATAATTGTGCATTGATTAAACTAGTAAACTTTGCTGTAACTGTCATTTGTATTATACTGTAAAAATGATACAATCGATTTATGATAACTAAAACGTGTGAAGAATACTTTTGATTGAAATCTATTTGCTAAATATCTAACAATTTTTTTTTTATATAACATATAATATAATATAATAGTGTATATAGGTAAGGTATGTATGTGTTCTTTTTTATTTATTTATTTTTAGGTTATTTTATTCTTATTTATTGTATATATATTATTTTTCTGTATAATTTATTTTTATTTATTGTACATAGAGTGAGAATGTGATCTCTGAACTTTATTATGAATGTCCTTTGAGATAGATTGTAATATTTTTCAATAACGAAAAAAAAATATATATAGCATTTCCAAGTCAATTTCAACCTTTTCCAAATCAAATTCAACCTTTTCCATTTCAAATTCAACCTTTTCCAGGTAAAATTCAACCTTTTCCATTTCAAATTCAACTTTCGATTTTTTGTCAATTTTCGATTTTTTTCGAAATGAAGGCCACTTACTATATTATCAAAGGCATAGCTTTTGAAAAATACAAAAAAAATTTGATAACGCGGTTGCATATCCATTTATTTTAACATTTTAGATTTTTTCAGTGTGATATTTCTGTCATATTCAATTATTTCCAAGTCAAATTCAACCTTTTCCAAGTCAAATTCAACCTTTTCCATTTCAAATCAAACCTTTTCCAATTCAAATTCAACCGTTTTCATCTCAAATAAATGTTTCAATTTTTTGTAAATTTTATATTTTTTTTAAATAATGGCCATTCCCTCCTCCCCTCCAATATGAAAGTCTATTATTATGCTCTCCTAAGTAGAATTTTCACTTACGGATATCGATTTATTGTACTTATTCGGATTTATTAGGGACTAGTATTATGCTGTCCTGTACCTAGTTTTGAAAATAACCTCCATTTTAATAATACGTGACTGCGTTTCGAATCATTTAAGTTTTTTTGACCTATTCGATATAAGGTTGTATTTTTATGTTTGCCGATCAGTAAATTTTGAAAATGACATCCATTTTATGTTTACGCCACTGTGTTTTGACTTATTTAAGTTTTTAGAATTTATCCAATATAAAGGTCTACTTTTATGTTTCCGGAGCCGTAGATTTTGAAAACGACCTCGATTTTAAGATTAGGCCACCGCGTTTCGACTTATTTGAGTTTTTCGGATATTTTTGATATGAGGGTGTATTTCTATGTTTCTGGAGCCATAGATTTTGAAAACGATCTCCATTTTAAGATTAGGCCACCGTGTTTCGATTTATTTGAGTTTTTCGTTTTTTTTTTCATATGAGGATGTATTCTTATGTTTCCAGAGCCGTAGATTTTGAAAATGACCTCCATTTTAAGATTACGCCACTGCGTTTCGGCTTATTCAAGTTTTTCGAATTTATCCAATTTAAAGGTCTACTATTATGATGCCGGAGCCTTAGTTTTTAAAACGAGTTATATTTTAAGATTAGGCCACTGTGTTTCGGTTTTTTTAAGTGTTTTTGATTTTTTCTTAGAAATAAAAAACAAAATACGAAGGATTAATTTACTTTTCAATAAATAAATAAAAATATCTAATCAAAATAAATAAAATATGTATTGTCTCATTTTTAATTTAATTTTAGTTATCTTTTTTAATGTCGTGGTCTCCTGTCACAAAATTATAAGTTTTCGAACAATTAGCTGAAAAATCCGAATACGGAAGGTTAAATTTATTACCAGTTGCTTTTCGGCTTTTTAGTTTGTATTCTGTGGTTAATTTAACTTTAGCTTCATAATATTTATTTATTTATTCATACTCGAAAACATACTGATGAAACTTTGTATTGAAAAAATCCAAAATGAAGCCTAATTAATCGAGATGCAGCGGCTTAATCATAAAATGGAGCTTAAATATTAGATAAATTTAAATATTAAAGATTAGAAAAATTTCAATAGGTCTCGGATAACATTTAAGCAGATCCTTATACCGAAAAAGTAAAAAAAAAAAAACTTTTATAATCGAAAACACAGTGGCATAAACTTGAAATTGGGTCATTTACAAAATGGGAGAAATCTACTGCTCCAGGAACATAAAATTAGACCTTTATACTTGTTAAATTCTAAAAACTTAAATAAGTTGAAACGCAGTGGCGTAATCATAAAATAGATGTCATTTTCAGAATCTACGGTTCCGAAAACATAAAAGTAGACCTTTAAATTGGATAAATTCGAAAAACTTAAATAAGTAAAAATGCAATGGCGTAATCATGAAATGGAGGTCATTTTCAAAATCTATGGCTCAAGAAACATAAAAGTAGACCTTAATATTGGATAAATTCGAAAAATTTAAATAAGTCAAAACGCAGCGGGGTAATCACAATATGGAGGTCATTTTCAAAATCTACAGCTCTGGAAATATAAAAATACACCCTTACATCGAATAAATCAAAAAAACTTAAATAAGTCGAAACGCAGTGGTGTAATCTTAAACGGAGGTCATTTTCAAAATCTACAGCTCCGCAAACATAGAAATACACCCTCATATCAAAAATATCCGAAAACCCAAATAAGTCGAAACGCGGTGGCCTAATCTTAAAATGGAGGTCGTTTTCAGAATCTACGGCTCCGGAAACATAAAAGTAGACCTTTATATTCTATAAATTCTAAAAACTTAAATAAGTCAAAACACAGTGGCGTAAACATAAAATGGATGTCATTTTCAAAATTTACTGATCGGCAAACATAAAAATACACCCTTATATCGAATAGGTCAAAAAAAATTAAATGATTCGAAACGCAGTCACGTAATCTTAAAAAAGAGGTTATTTTCAAAAACTACTCATACGATAACAGACCCACACATCGAAAAATTAAAGATAATTAAATAAATAAAAAAAGGTTGAATTTGAAATGGAAAAGGTTTAATTTGAAATGGAAAAGGTTGAATTTGACTTGGAAAAAGTTTAATTTGATTTGGAAAAGGTTGAATTTGACTTGGAAAAGGTTGAAATTGACTTGGAAATGCTATATATATATTCATAATATTTCTCCAATTCTTCTTCGGTGCATACTATTTATTTTCAGCCATTTTACATAGTAAAAATTGCAACAACAAAGTATATATTGGACATACATCACAATGGTTTGAAAAAAGACTTAAACAGCACAAACAAAATTGTAATTCAAAAAATACAAAAATTAAATTAGCTACTGGGCTCTCTCAGCACACTATGCAAACAAAACATGAATTTGACTTCAATAACGCCAAAATCCTACATAGTAAAAGTAATATGAATAAACGTAGAATAAAAGAAGCAATATACATAGCTAAAAACTCTGTAAATAATCATACAGATGTGGGTAATATGAATACCTTTTACGCGAGTTCGATTGAAAAAATAAAAATATGAAATGAATTAGCTGATTGTACTTAAAATAAATCCATATATAATATTGGGAAACATCATTGTATATGTTTAAAATAAATAGTCTTCCCCTACTCCTTTAAGAATAACCAGTCAAGAAACTGAAATGAGGCTGATGACATGTCGGTGACACAACATAAGGTAATTTTAACTTATTTGAATCTTTTAATAATAAATAATTGAGAAATAATAATGTTATAAAATAATTATAGGTGGACATGACACAAAAAAAAAAATTTTTTACCTGAGTAGACGCATGCAATTCGCATAAGTGGATAAGGACAGGTACATGATTGGTATTTTAGGTATATAGAATGAATCTCTATATGTTGAAATATGTAATGTTTTAAATATGACTGTAAATTGTAAACATTTTTTAGACTTGAAAATGGCTCAACGAGCCGAAACGCCGTAATCAGATGTGTAGTCATTAAGTTAATAATAAATAATAAACAAATAAATAATAATAATAAATAAATAAACTTGAATATATATATATATATATATATATATATATATATATATATATATATATACACACACATAACTTTTGCAAACAGGAGTCAGTAATTTGTCAAAACTCTATCGAGTGCAACAGAAAATCGAATAGAAACACATAATTTCTTATTTTACGGCTAATATCGCAAATATATTTCTGAATTCCCCAAAGCATTTAAATTTTGAGATATTTTTTCTTTTCGATTGACTCTATAAACCATATTTGGGTACTCTTTCTGTGATTAGAGGCCGCAGTAATAGTGATATAGAGGCTCAAATAATAGTTACCACTTTATTTTTTTTTCACATTGCAGCAACCCTGTAATGGGTGCATATATGTCTAGGCGTACCATGAGGCTTATTGAGATACATGGTTAGTTAAGTAACATAATACAGCTACATTATAATACTTTAAAGAATTAGAAAATAAAATAAATAAATTTATATAACAAATTATAGTAGTAAAAGTAAAGTAATTAAATATAATATACAAATAACTAAAATGAAAAAAACAATAGTGATGAGTTAAGATTAGGTAATATTAGGTAGAATATTTACAACAGAAATGTGGTATAACAGAATAAAACAATGAATATAAATTTAGAATAGAAATTAAGGGTTTGAGACAATATTTACAATAAATAATACAATTTATAAAAAAAAATGATGTAGATAGCGTTATTAAGGAATGATTAGGCGACAGTGTAATTATTAAGTTCAGAGAAATCAATTCGTTCCACAAATGCATCAAATTCTGAGAAATATTTTTCAATCATATCCTTCTTTGAAGGCGGCCATTAGTTTCCGTTCACCATGACAGCAGAGACTAGTTTGTGCCTGCATTTTCCAGTCTACTACATTCATAAAAGATATAGTCGTATGTTTGCTCACTTTTGACGTCACATTTGCAAATTTCGTTGTCAGTTAAGTTAAAACTGAATAAGGAGCATTTGGCTGCTCCGTTTCCTGCCAAAAATTTAAACAAATCCTAAAATCCTGTTTGTAATATATTTTTTTAAGTTCTCTCTCTCCTGTCTTTTTAATTGTCTCTTTCTCCTGAATATTTAATGTAGTCGTAAGCAGTGGCGGATCTATGAATTTCCTCAGAGGGGGAGGGGTGAGGAAGGGGAGCACCTCTGTACCAGGTGCTTTCCCCACCACTACCCATCTCTCCCCACTCCTTAGGCGAGTTTAGCCGCTCAAAAGTTCTCTTTAAATGGTTTAACAAAAGCAAACTCTATTTTTATTTAAAGTGAAGCAATCGTTAATTACTTAAATTAAATAGTTCTTGAGTTATCACTTCCTATTCAACAGAAAAAGTGTCTTACTTAAAAAAAAACACAAAACTTTAACTTCCTACATTCCTGCTGAAAATCGAACCATTATTTATATAAACTTTTTTATAGTTCTTGAGTTCTGGTATCACTCCTTTAAATATTTCCCTCTACTTATGGGACACCCTGTGTATGGGTTTCAACAACTAGTAAACAGAATTGCTAACACGGGTCACCAAGAGAAAACTTTTTACAGCCAGATTCATCACCTTTTTTTTTTCATCTATTACTACTAAACAGTGCATCAAAGCGAAAAACGTATTCTTTAAGAAATTTAAGAACATTAAATTGTACGTCGAACGAGTACCTAAACTTCATCCTCTTCTTTACTCCTTGTGTACCTTTCAGCGTGGAGGAGCCTCCAGGCACTTCGGCCATACATCCCTGTCTCTTGCCAATTCCTTCATCTGACCTAAGGTTTTTCATCTATCCTCCTCACCTAGTCGCTGGATATGTTCCAGATATGTTCTTCTAGGCCTGCCCCGTGGTCTCCTGCCAGTTGGCCTCGCTTCCATGCATTTTCCTTGGTAATCTGCTTTCTTCCATTTTACACATGTGCCCATACCATCGAAGTTGCCAGGATTCCATAGTTGCTTTCAGTGAGGGTATCAGGAGTTGCTCTCTTATTCTTTCATTGCTCACTCTGTCTCTCCTAGTTTCTCCCAAAATTCTTCGTAAAAATTTAATTTCAGCAGCTGTAATCATGGTTAAGTCCTTATCTTGGTTGACCCAGCTTTCGCTGTCATATAATAATGTAGGGAGATATACTGCTTTATAGGAGTGGAGTTTGACATTAAGTAGTAGTGGAGTTTGAGTATGTAAACTTAATGATTCGATTAATTGATGTAGTCGATAACCGCGGCAATGAACGCTAACTTTGTCAAAACCTGAGACAGATTACTGTAAATGGCCCTGCGGAATGCAATGAGTATGCCTTTTTCCCTTTACTTCTCTTTTCTGTAAATAGCTGCTTTCTGGGACTTTTTAAAACACCATTCAGGAGAGAGAGGAGTGCGCTACCGGCTCGGAGGTACTGGTCAAAATATTTTTTTTTTATTACATTAGAAAATTCGTCTATGAGGATGAATTTTCTATATATTTTTCTTTTCTTTGAATAGCTGTACATTGGAACTTTTTTAGAATTTTTTGCCAACTTCCAAGGGGTGGAGGAGAGGCGTGCCCCCCGGCTGGATCCGCTAGTGGTCTGTCTGTAAGTGTTTCAACCTTTTTTTTGTTGTTGGCGCTTAGATTTGGTCACTTGCTTGTCTTTTTGCTGTTATTAGGAAATATTTAACCGCGCTGGTCGATGCCTTGTTGAAAATTATCGGGAGCGCATTGTCTCTTAACGCTGGCGATCACGTTATAAATGGAAAAATCCAAACTATAAAGCTTCTTAGCCTGAAGGTGAACAGTTTACCTACCAACGTTTCACCAATTCAAGCATCGTCTTGACAGAAATTTGGCAGGTTAATAGTTAATAAACACCTATAAGCTAGAGACTCGAGGCTTTTTTTTTCTATTTTTTAAAGTAATATATATATATATATATATATATATATATATATATATATATATATATATATATATATATATATATATATACAGATAGATATGTATTCATTTATGATATTGATACCTTCATGGCATGATCGACTATAGTTGAAAGAATTTCATTGGATTCATCAAAACGATGGGGCACCATGGAACCGAGGCTGGGCGCGTAGATAGATAAAGTGGTCTCTAGGCAATCCCCCGTCTCAGTCGTTGACTTACTCCTACATGACCTTACCAATCTGTCGGGTATTTCGCCTTCCTTTAGGTGGCATGCTATATACCTGTATTTAACTTCTTCCGAGTCACTCCTCAAACTACAGAAAATAAATAAATTAATTAAAAATTGAAATGGATCTCCTCGAAATTCGAACATTATTTTGAGAATTCGCAATTACTTAAACTATGGTGAATTAGTCGGTAACTATAATCCAGGATTACCCACAAGGGGGTTTCATGGCGCAAGTTGAGCCATCACAATTTTTGAGGGAGGCTCGTTTTGATGTAATTTTGAATTTTCGGATTGAAAAGTTTCAAGCAAGGATAAAAAAGGGAATACATGGAACAAACCTCAGCAAGTGGTAAAATTGTATATGATTTATGGTACTTTTATTTCTAATGTTTTTAAGAAGAGGAGAGCAATAAAAGACCTTGAGGAGAGGAGGAGGGAGATTCATCCGCCATCGATCTGTGGGGGGACGGGCTCTCCTGCTATAATCATAGTTGTTAAATAGGTATATAGTCCAATTGTTCGACCTCGGGAGTAGAAAGTAACATTATCAAAAATAAGAGAAATCTCAACATTATCTAATTTTTTTTACAATTTGAGACAAAAACCTTCTCTATAGACTTCGTCGTTTCCGAAATACAGATTTTCGAAGTCTACCAATTTTTGCCGAAATTGAAAATTTTTTAGGAATATTTTGTTGGACTTTTTTTTTGGAAAAATGTTCCACCTCCCATATTCCAATGTACGATAAATAGATTTTAAAGGACCAAGAGATAAACCATCTCCTACATTTTCCACATTGCTCTCTGAGAAAGACGGTATTTTAAAGTAATATTGTTTTATTTAATATGTGGAATCTTACGGAGGAAAATGAAAAAATATGATAGGTTATACTAATATTAAGTTAAACATTTTGTTTTCAAAACTAAAATAGATTTTGTAGTAATTCGGTACCTGAAAAAATGATATATAATGCACATTACTTATACATTTAGTAGATATTATTAATATATAGTTATGTAAACACTATATAAAGTTAGAGCAGTCTAATGCTTATTCAGTCGTTGTTCTAATAACGATAAATCTGGCATTCAAGTTTTTCTTTGTCATGTTACCAATGTCACATTTACTTGTTGTATTTTTCATGTAATACAGTTGTAAATTTCATTCAAATAAAAAAAAAGTTTTTCTAAAAAATCTCGGTATTAACACATAAAAATACAATTGCTTTGTGTTTTGAAAGATTGAAGATATGATAGTAAAATAATATATATATTTTAGGAAAATTTAATGATAAACAACTTTCTACCTAATGATTTTTTCATAGAATGAAGAAATAAAGAGATGGCTAGGCAAAGGTAGATAAAAATGTATTGAAAAGGTGTGGGGCAAATGGCACGGATATCTTGGAAATTATGAGAGATAGCGAAAGAATAAATAACTTCAATCTTATTGAAAATTTTATCGGCTCTAATTGTGTATAGAATGTCTTTATCACTAAGACGCATTGTTTCCCTGATATAAGTTCCGAACCAAAAAAAAAGTGATGTATAGACTCTCCCCCACATCTGGCGCATCTCCTAAATGTGAGGACTTTTAAATTACCTCTTAACTAGTCCGACTAAACTACTAAAGTCAGAAATTGTATTCCTTCAATTTCCCTCTATAATCATTCTTTGACTGGACTAAAACCGTCACAGCACAATTCGTTTCAGTTCATGTACAGGATGTAACAACAAATTACCTATATTAAAAAAACAGACTATACATCAAAAATTCTTAGAATAGATAAAGATTATAATTCATTAGATGGAGATCTTATGGAAGAAAAGGCACTCATTTAGTTTGTTAGATGATACGTAGGTAAACCAAGATATCACTGTTCAGTATGGTTTAAATATGGCAGAAGTTTTATTAAGGTTACCCTACAGATACTGTACAAAAAGAAGCAATCATTTCCGAGTATTATTTTTGAAGGAAAAACCACTAATTTCTAATCAGCATTTCTTGTTATATGAAAAAAAACAAAAAAAAAAAAACAAACAATGCAGTTCATTGATTTGCTAAAAACAAAAATGGAAAAACATAGCATAAGGTTCATTGTCAAATTGCTACAATCTAAAGGGAGAAAATTAAGAGTTTTTTATTTTTAACAATGTTGAGTTCGATCCTCGATGTTGAAGACTAGAATTATTCTTTGGACAAACATCATAACTCAGAAAAATATCAGAGCTAACGGATAGATTAAATATAATAATAGTGATAAAATCTCACAAAAAAATATGAATAACCCAAATAAGGTTGTTTATCACGAAAATTTAAATACCGATTCTTTCTTAATGCACAGGAGAGGAAAGATATTCAGATGTCTGTTTAGAAAACAAAACATGGAATCGCATAAAAACTCATCCAATGATGATAACTGATCAAAATGTTGGGCGTAAACATACTGTCAGAATTCCGTTACAAAACTTAATCAGTAGAACGAAACATTCGCTCAATTTCCCTGACACTCAGTTGCATAACGTTGGATTTTCTAGCGTTGCGATTTGCTGAAGGAACAGCCCCCATAAGTTCCTCATTGCTTCTCCACACTTTTTCTTCCTCATTATGTAACTTATTCAAACATAATTAAGTTCAAGACGCCAAAAACAACAGGATTAGTCAAAGAAGTTTCAAACTTTTCATAACATCTATTCTTTTAAAGGCAAGGCCAGTTGGATCACGATTCTTGATATTTAATAGGCATCAGTAAGAAAACATAAAAAACAACAGGTGTTTAGTGTATTATAAGATGGTAACAAGGAAGAATTATAACAAGTTAAATTAATATGAATGGTTTAGTATTTTTTCAGGCGAACTTTATATGAATCAACTACCAGACACACAAATGCCAACAATTCAATACTACAGTACAAAGCATTCAATATCATTTGGTTTTCTGAAATGTTTTTTATTTAGCTTCTTATTAATTTTCAAGAGGTTTAAATAACGATATGTAACATAGATGCTTCCTGTCATACCATTATCACGCTCACAAATACTGCAAAAATACAAAAATATTTATAGATGGAGTGCGTCAAAGCAGGAAAGCCCAGAAGGCGTTTTATGGCGCAAGTTGCGCCATCAAAATTTTTAAGGGGGGCATATTTTGACCAGTTTTTGAATTTTTGTGGGGAACAAATTTCAACAAGGTTATGAATTTTCGGAATGAAGAGTTTCAGAATAAGGGGCACGGAAAAAACGTGAAACAGACCGCAGCAAGTGTAATTGTGTATGATCTACGATTTTTCTAATACTACTTTCTTTTGCTCTGTTTGTATGAAAAGGTGAGCAATAAAATATCTCGGGAGGGAGAGGGGGTGGGATTTTGCGACATCGACCTTGGGGAGAATTAATAGGTTTAATTCTTTGTCATTGGGGCTCATCTTATTTTTATTTTAACAAATATTTGTATTTATAGGGGGCGGGGTGGCCGAATGGGCTAAAGCGTGTGCACTGCACCGCGAGTTGCCTAGCAACCGGATAAGAGATTTGAGAAGATTTAAAAAAGTATGAGTTCGCATCCCGGTGCCGGAGGGGATTTTAAATTCCCCGCCCTCGCCCTCCGGCCTGGGAAAATCCCGTATAGCCTAAAAGGCGAGGTAGGGAAGAACAAAAAAAAAATTGTATTCAACATGTTACGTACCATGGTTAAAGTTCTGAAAAATATATATTTTTTCCTGACCAAATTAAGACTATTATATTATATTCTTTTGGTGGTTTAACTTTCTTCTGAAGAAGCAAAAAAGCCCCTGCTAAAAGAACTTTAAAGCCAACCGAAAACGATCCAATGGCCACTTTAAAGATCTGGAACCTCGAAAGTGATTATGTAAACCCTTGAAAAATGACATTGTGAAATTCGACTTATAACTTGAAAAAAGACATTGAGAAATTCGAATGTTATATTAAAAAAAATTAAAACAAGTTGGGTTCAAATTATTCTATTGTCTCTTTGAATTCACACAGCTGATTTCATGCCACGAACGCCACTGTCAGTACTAACAGCAAATGTCTAAATTTCAAAAATATTTAAAAAGTTGTCTTATTTCATTGGAATAAATCGATATACGAATAATTTCTTTCCCCGTTAACAACTTTCGTGTCGTCGAATGGTTAGATGTAGAAAATAAAAGAAATTGTGATAGATAATGAATCCATACACTGTAATTAGATTAAAGCTTAAAATATCCGGTGCGGTGAGCGCATCACACAACTTTCACTTACTACCCTCTTCTTATCAGAAATAAGTATTTGTAGACAGAGGGGAAGTGAAAGTTAAAATTATAAATGCTATATTGATTTATATTTCATTGTGGATATTTTTATTTGTTTAAATACCCTTAAATATTCAAATTTTAATATTTATATCTATAGATATAAATATTAAATAATACCAACGAAAACACTCAGGATAACCACATATGTATATGTACATAATATTGTCGGAGTTCGTATTTGATTGTGCTTATGTTATGTATGGAAGCCTGATCTAATCTTCGGGCCAGCTTGGGTGAGCTCGGCCGCGTTTGTATCCCTTTGGTTCCTTCATTACAACTATTCTCTGCTACGATCTCATATTTCTCCTTTAGTTAATTATCAAATTGCTTCATATTTTATATTTAACTATTTTTTATATAAGAAATCGTGAAATGGTTAATTGTTTCAAATAAAAAAAATTAAACGTACTTTAGAGGAAGCTAATATTGAAAATTAGCCATTTAAACCCTGTTAGAGAACATCAATGAGAATAAAACCTACATAATATTAAAAAATGCTCAATTTTACTCTGGTATAATGAATTTAATCAAAATCGTTGGAACTGATTTCGAGAAAATAGTTAAAAAATTTTCATCGATGATATAAACTGCCATTTCCGGTTAGCCGATTTTGACGAAAAAGTTGCTGTAACATCTAGGTAACAAACCTTAAGTAAGCAATTTCACTTTCATACGATTTTTCGTATTTGAGCTAGACGTGTCACATACATACAGACACACGCACATATGCGCGCGCGCACACACACACACACCCACCATTTTGCGGGACTTGGTTATTTGGACTCAAGTGACCTTAAAACATGTATTTCCGTTGAAAACTCAGTTTAGACAATATTCACGATCGCAACACTATCCCTTAATATATATTTCATATATAGTTAAGTTAAAGTAAAAATTGGGAAATCACATACATTTCTGATTTAGCTTAAATTTTAGCATAGTGAACATTTATCAATACATTTAATGGTATAATTTTGGTATAAATGTTAGTTAACGAGAGTTTACAACAAACAGACTATATGGATCAATACAATGTCATAACAGTTAAATTTGTGTTGAAACATATGATGTATTAAACATGTGTTTTTTATTTAAATGTGTGTTAAATTTAAATGTTTTTGTTCTAAAACATAAGAATGTAGCTTCATCACCACTACACTGAAAATTTATTGTTTTTATTTTCAACAAGTTTCAATATGTTTTTTCCAATTTATTTTGAGTGGTCCAAAAATAGAGAGATGCTTAGCCACAGTTTTTATCTCTACAATAACTTGTACTGAACAGATTTCTCCCAGCAAAGGACAATATTATTTTTTTGGATGCAGAATTCTTAAAAATTTTAAGGCGTTGGAGTTTGTTCATTTTTAGTGTGGAAGAATGGAAGGTGAAGAAAAGGATCATCAAATTAACCGAGCGTATTTTCAGCCTAAACTTGCTTTAATCTTGTGAGTCCTTTAAAACCTACATTACCTCTCCTGAAATCCCAATTTTCTTTAATAAAACTCGATAAATGTTTTCACCATTGTTCAATCCTGTTTACTTGAATTTGCTAGTGCAAAATCTGTAAACATATCCCTTTACGAAGGTAGGGGTACCCATCTCCATCCCCCACCAAGGTCGATGACACATGAACCCCACCTCTCTCAATATATTTTATTTGCTTACCTATTTGTAAAAAACAGTGGAAGTTGAATTAGAAAAATCGTATACCATATACAGTTAAGCTTGGTGTGGTATGTTCCATGTTTTCCCCTTGTCCATGGCTTGAAACTTCTCATTCCAGAAACTTCATAACCCTGTCTAATTTTGTCCCCTCAAAAGTTCAAACCCCTCCTCAAAATATCGTCCCCCATAATTTTTTTTTGCGCCATGAAACTCCCTTCTGGGAACCTCTGCATGAAGGACAATTCTTCACCAAATGTCACAGGAAGGAATTTGGTATTCTGAATTTATATAAAGTCATTAAAATATTTTGCTTATCTTGAATTCAACTTGGTGAAGTTCTGAAAATCAGCACATATTAAAGTCATATAAATCACTTTAATATGTGTTCCTTTCCTTACCGCACACCAACCATCTTCTCTTTGATCAAACTCATTTAAATTTTAATGGTGTAATCTTTCTGATTCAATGCTCTCTTCATAAGTATTTAAAAAAAACTAACCAATGTGAAATTCTCTAGGTATTTAGTTTTTTATTGTGTTTTTTTATACTTTAGGCAATTCTTTTTATAATGTCTTACTTGGTTGCAGAAAAAAAAAATCCACTCATTATTTTTCCAGTTCTTATCCTTATTAGACTTCTCATAGTTTTCTTTTAAAATTATTATTTATTTAATTTAAACTTATAAAAACCCAAATTTTCATGTTGCCCCTGTTTAGGGACTGATTTCAAAGAATTAATGATCTCTAAATAAGCAGGTGGTTGTTAATATCCTGCTAAAGAAATATGGCAATTTGTCCTTGTCTTCTTTTCCAACTTTATCATGTGGTTCTTCTCAGTACGTCCTGAATCTAACAGGATGCTTTGATGAAAGTACTGGTATCACAATATTTCTTTTCCATATAAAAAAAAATATAATAAATTGGAAGGGTGATTTATTTTCATGAAAATTTTATTCATTCAATTTTTCTTCAATTTGTACACAAATTTAATGGATTTCTTGGCTTAGAAACATATGTTATAAAAGGATTTTTAGTTTGTAACATGTGATATATAAAACATGTGTTTTCAAAAAGGTAATGTATAACTTCATAATTTGATATATCCCTCATACTTAAAGTTGACTATATTTTAAATCAAACCTCAAATTGATTTATTTATTTTTTATTTATTCATGATATTTACAACTGTATTAAAAAAATACATCTAGTAAATTGATATTTTAAATTATGCATTCCATCTTCATCTCTGTCTGGTAGAAGGTAAGTGTCTTAATGGGCATTCAACAATTTGATAACCATGAAATTACTTTCCCTAATTCTCTGCAATAGGGCCCAAAATAACACTTTTATATTTTTTTTAATTAAAAATATTTATAATATAACAATTGTTATTTCTATGTGTTTTTTTTTTACATGATGCAGTAAAAGTTTTATGACTATTCGAAAATTAATTTGATTAAATCAAATACATTACTTTCCCCTTGGGTTTTCTCTAGAAGAATTTTCAGTATCAACACTGCATGAGGTTTTTTCAGTATCACAACTAATTGTATATTCCATTTTATTGCACCTGAAAGTAATTTACATTATTAACATCACATAATCATATTCTAGAACTAACATATTTAGTTATATTAATAACATTACTTGGTAATACTGAGGAATACCTATACGGTAATACAATGAATATTAACAATATACAATAACAATAATACAAGGAATACCCTGGCCTACGATACAATAATTAACACACCATGATGCAATATAGTTACTGATAGCTTGATTGCTATTGAATATATTTCCATTATCAGCATATATTAAATATTTATGTTGGTAAAAATGCAAGCCTTTCCTTTTCATGCCTTTTAGAGATCCATATTAATATCTTGTTTCATTATTTTAAATTTCTTTCAGGGACCATTATCTTTATGTTTAACTTTATTATTATGATATAAATTTATTATGTCTTTAATCATGTTATAGCAACCCATGTTCTACCTGAATACACCATCATAACCACAAAATTTCTAATAAACTGAAATCAAACCACAGGTGGATCTACGGGGAAGGGAGAATGCTTTCGGGCTGAAGCCCTCCAAAATAAAATAAGATAAAATATAGCAATGTCTTATGAAAAAATATTAAAAAATGATCTCTAAAAGTATTACTACTCATGTAGTTGCATTTAATAGGACTTCAAGAATAACTAATACACAATTTCATATAGCTCTTTATTTTTCTTCTAAAGTAATTATCATTATATATATATATATATATAAACAAAATTTTTGGGCTGAAGCCCCCTCCAAAATTAAATTCTGGATCCGTTATCGAATCAAACTATACAAGAAAATTAGAACCTGGACTATGATGAACACAATTCCAAAACATTTCATAGAAACATAATGGTCAAACTAACTTTGGAAAAGTGTTTAAGATAGTAATTGGTGTTTAAATTTTAAGAAATATAATTGGAAAATTTAGAGTTAAAATAAAATATTTAACATGCTTAACTAACTTGCTGTCAGGATCACAATAATCATAAATGTTCTTACTCCCAGCACTTAAAAATATTATTGTTAGATATAAAAGTGTGCTTGTCTCATAGCATAACCTCAAGAGTTATGTCTTGAAGCAAGACGGGCCAATGTTCAAAGCTTTGAAATTTTAATGAGCTTGGAAAAAGAAAATCAGGATAGGATATACATTGAGTGTGAAGAGGTACAGCATTTTCCAATTATTAACTATTTAGACTAACACAAATAATGGGAGGAAATTAGCCCCATAATTTCTGATTTCTTTCATGCACATTTGAATTTGAATATGTTGGACACTGACCCTTGTTGTTTTAGAGCTCAGATATAATGATTGACAACCACTGCCATATTAAAATATCAACACAAATTTGTTCAGACATAGGCTTCACTATTTATAAATTATTTTGATGCATTTTTCACTTCTCTTTTGTTTTTATTACCTTCTGATTTATAAACTTTTAAATTTAAACTGTATATTGATGAATAGTTCTTTATTTATGTAATTCACAATCCATATTCATATTGTATCCAAGGCTATAGCTATTCAGGGGTTTTCAAAATCCCTAAATGTAAAATAATTATATAATAATAGTTTGTGTTTAATAAACTTTATTTCATGGCTGCATAGCTGATTATTCCGTTTCTGATGGATTGCATAGTATTGAATTATTTCATTGTTTCTTTATTTCAAAATGAAATAACACAATTTTAAGCTCTAAAGTATCAAATATTTAATCCTCCATCTCTATTCCTGAGTCCTGTCTACTAAATCACTAGAGGGAGCAGTTGGCTTGGGTTCGTGATCATACGGGGATCTCTGATATTGAAGCAGATAAACTAGCTAAAATTGGAGCAGGATTCCCTTTACTGGACCAGAACCTGCAATAGGCATCTCCAAGAGATATCAATGCAAAGAAGTCCTTGATTGGGTATGCAAGGAAGCTGGTAAGGAATGGATGAATTGTGGGAGCCTAAGGCGAGCTAAGCAATTCATTAAAGAATCCTCACTCACCAGAACCAAGTGGTTGCTTGGTGAACTTTGATTGACAATAGGATCCCAGACAGGCCATTGCAGACTTAAAAGACATTTAAAGATCTGTGGAGATTTGTGCGGGAAAGTGTCAGAAAAAGTTTTGAAAGGGAGGATAAATAAATATACTCCATTTGTATATTTAATCTTATTTGGGATTGGCAAAGTGAACCAGGCCCAACTTGCCGGGATGCCCACTTGTCGGAATCGTTCTCCACTCTTTATCAGTACTTGTATATTAATGCTCTATAAGTATATTAATACTATATTAACATCTTTGTTTTGCTTTGAAGATGATCTCAAGCAAGATTAATCAAACTCATGGTTGGATATTTATGTATAAAATTTCTGCAGAGCATCATTTTTTTTTCTTTTTGCCCAGCTATTTACCAGAAGATTCATATTGTGATTTAATAATAATAATAATTTCTACAATGAGTTATCATAAATGATTAAATATCAAGTTGATTCACACATTAATTATTTTTTTTTTTTTGAGAAATGTCTTTATGGATATTCTTTAATCAGTAGTATGCACAGTATCAAATTATTATTACTGCTAATCAATAAATCAGTAGCTGACAATCATTACCAAAATATTTCACTACTCTGAGTCCAGTAAAAACTCAAAAATCTACAATGAGCTACTTGACAATTCTGCGAAATCCATCTTGACCTTCCTCAAGGACAAATTAGAAGTGGCCCTGGGTAGAGTTGAAAGTGATAGAATGCTGGTTTCCAATATGAAATCCTTGTACAGATGAAGGTAATATTTCATAATATATTTTCAATATCAATGTTTAGATAAATCCCTCATCTTCTTTCATCCTCAATGAAAGACAAATCTCCATTTTCCCAATGGTGTACCCATGATATGATTAGGTAGGGAAGGCTATGAGACAAGTTTTAATCATAATGATTCCTGAAGGTTTTCTGTAATTAGTTTTTCTCAATCGAGGTCTACTGAACATCATGATAATGACTGATAGTCACTTTAACAAAAAATATATCATCTAGGTCAATGATAATATGTTCTGATATTAATAGTACATATAGTTGGCAACACCTTTTCAAACCGATTATCAATTTATCTGCTCATAAAAGTCTTGTCCCTTCAAAGGAATGCTTATCCAATATTTTTAAAAATTTTATTAAGAACAAATTCTTGAGTGATTATGAATAACCTCAATGGCTTGTCATAACATTTTTATATTATCAATTTCAACCCAATGAGAGGACAAAATTTAAAAAAAAAATATGTAATATTTTATTAGGTTCACATGATTATTATTTCTTTTAATTTTTCCATACGATTTATAGTAAGTTCCTATACTGTAATTGCACACAAATTTACTGATGTATAAATTTTGTGGAATTTATATTAGTTTATATAGTTTTTCCTAAAAGCAATTTTAAAATTAAAAAAGGTTTGTCCACATTAAAAACTAAAAACAATTTTGAAGTTTCATTATTATCCTCTTAGTTTCTATGAGTGTAGCCCATTTGAAAGTGAGAATTATAATTAAAACTAGTTTATCTGTTCATTTTAATTCTTAAAACAATGTAAAAGATAATTTTTTCTCTGTACTTCATACTAATATCAAGTTTTCAATGCCACCCAAAAAAGTAAAGTGTAAATTTTTCAAGATAAGGTACTAATGCTATTGGCAAACAATCTCTTTATAAAATTGAGTCTAAATAGAAGTGCATTTTCATTTTGAATAAAATACAAAGTTATAAGATGAATTAATGAGTTTCAAGAGTAAATTTAAAAGGTTCACATAAAATTTTAGAAATTATTCGCAGTTCAGAATATTGTAATGCTCAGGATTCCACTAAGTAAGTATAGTTCCACTACTGCTCACATCAAATCTATTTCCTTCACTTTTGGTAATTAGGTATGGCAAATAGTAATTTTTTTTCTGTTATTAAGAAAACGAATCTGCACCTAAAATAAAAATACTTTACCTTGAAACTGAAAGTGCTTAGTTTCCCTTTATAAAAGTTGGAATTTAATCATTTACAAAGAAGCCATAATCTACTTGGGACATAAGCTTGTATTTATTGGTAAAAAGGACCTTTTATGAGGTGATCGAGGTCTAATCGAGGAAGTATTTTTACAATTTTCAAAATAGTATCTTCAATTAATGCGATAAACAAATGACATTTAACATGCTGGTTTGGAACTTTTCTCTTCACTAATGCAAATTATACTTTCTCTCTTGGGCAGAACAGGAATGGAAGACCCAAACGCATTCATTTTCCTGTATCAAATATCCATTAAAAATACCTAAATAATTTAATATTAATATTGGCAATTACTATGTTTTTTTCTTATGCTTATATTATTGCATTTTATGAGCATAAGGCATTTTATAATTTACTAAATTATTACATTCCTATGTTTACTGTCGGTCTTTACACTTTTGAGAATGTGGCGGATTACACCTACCCCAGATCTCTCACATATCAATAGGTACATCAACTATATGCATCCCATACACACTCCAATGATGACACATTCGCAGACATGTGGAAATTAGAAAATGATTGGCTGCTGTGAACCGATGTTACTTCGAGTTTCTGAAGACATCCACAGTAGGCTTCTCAGCATACAAAACTGAACCTCAATAAGATTTTAATATGCCCTCTTCAATCATTCGCCTCACAACCCTGGCCCATCTCAAAGAGCGACGAACACAATCTAATGACTTTTGAATGAAAAATTGGCGACTCACAATTGGTTCAGTAAGAGATGCAGATGTCTTTCCTTATGGCACGGGATGTTAAACAAGTAGATGGCCTTAGTTCTCTTCTTTTCAAAATCCACAAGATATATCGGGAAGTGGGGCTTAAGAACAATATCAGCACAGGCATATTTATTCGCAGCGGATATTGTTCTTGTCTCTGATGATAAGGAAAATTTGCAGCGGCACTAATCAAATAAAAAGAAGAGCTCCTTAGGAAAGGAATAATAAACTCCGTAAATAGTAAATTCATGCTAATTTTTACGAAAGAGGAAGATGTAATTTGTTTTGCAATGGCGAGACGCTAGCAGTTGTTGACCGATTCCCAAATTTAATTACAGTCATTAGCAACACTGCCACCTTAGGCTAAGAAGTACTAAAGCGAATAAAATTTACTACCTCCATATTTTCAAAGCCGCTAACCTACGAATGCTGCTGTTCGACTCTGAGAGATGGATAACATTAGACAGACACATGAGCCGTCTGATTGCGGTGGAAATGAAATATTTTCGCCGAGTGGCTGGACAGACACGAGAAGACTGCTTAAGAAAAGAGACGAACAGAAACCTGACTAGCGATTAACGAGCAGTTGGTCATTGCTTCATTGAAAATTAACTTTCACACAAGATCACTATAGTCATCCGGACATCTATGCAGGAACGATACCCAAGAAAAATAAAGGAAGCTCGACTGACTGGTAAAAGAACCAGATGCAGAATCAGGATATTATACAACAAATATATCACCAAGCTGTCCCTTGAGAAAAGATTAAAAACTGAAAATGGTTGGTAGCAAAAAACCGAGATAATTGATTCCAGTGGATTGAGGCTCCTCAACGCTGGGAGGCAAAATAGGAAGAAAAAGAAGAAGAAGAATTGTAGAAGGCTAGGTAATCAGAGAGAATAGAGAACTCTACATTTACGGAATGCTAGATGTGGTCACGTTTATTGGATGGCTTAGTTGGGGTGTCCATGTTGACAGAATGAATGAGGAAGTGACCCCGAAGAGAATGTGAGGGGAAGTCCTTCATCGGCCTAGAAGAGCTGGCAGGCCGAGACCAAGTTGGGCTGAAGTGAGATGGAATGACGGCGGAAGCCACTCAGAAATTAGGAACGGGAAGGCGAGTGCCACTGCACTCAACAGAGGCGAAATGAGGAGGCCAAGACCCACTCTGTGTTGTAGTGCCACGGTGATATAATAGATAAGTCATTATGTAGTAACAGTACGAATATTCAATAAATAACTAGGATACTGGTAATTACTTTTGGCAAAATTAACAGTGATTAGCTATAAAGCTATTAAAATTCAAGAAAAATATGTAAAAAGAAAGAAGAAAAAGTGATTTAAATGTTTGTAAGAATTTCAGAAATGTTAAATGGTCATTACAAATTAAATCCGGTTTTCTCTTCCGGCACAACATTATAATGGTGTTTCACTGTTTCGGAACCTGTACTCGTGCCAGCATCAACAAAACTGCAAAAATGATAGATTAAACAATTAATTTAGAAGTGTTAATTATAAGAATGAAATACTAAAACTAAAATCATAGATAAATTAAGAATTAATTGACTTCTCATTAACAAGACATGGTACCGAAAGAGAAGATCATTATGTATATTTGCTCTGATCATCTTTATTGGATTCCATTAACCTGTTATCTTTCGGCATCTGCCAATAGGACACTCGAAGAAAAATAGCTCCTACGAAAAATTAATCGTTATTCGAGTCAAGAGAATTGGAGTAAACCAAAATAGGTGTGTCTATACGATCCTGTGCTAGCCGTTAGGGAGGCTCAACTGCCCTTATCTTCAATGTCAGTTCAATTTATAGTATAATTTATTTAATGTATAGTTGCTTGAAACCAACTGAAGTGGAAAGAACCGACAAGTTCGGCTCAGCCTCTGTAACTTCTTGTGAAGGATCTTATAGGCGCACTCTCTCAACGCCTATTTCTGTTTACTCCAATTCTCTCGACTCGGAGAACATAATTTAGAGCCCAACAACGATTCGTTCAACGATGATCGAGATAGTCAAGAAATTGAGGTTTAAACAGTAAACAGCTTTACACATCTATTATCTTTTTATGTTCTTATTTAGGCTTTCTGGCTAAATTTTAAATTATGTTTTAGAATATTTGTGTACTTTCTTAAGGCTAGAACTGTTGTTTGCAAGGCCCTTCAGAGCCTGATTGAAATGAAATGATGTGAGGATGAAAACCAGGTATCTCAATCCTCTTGGCCTTTCAAGGACATGCAATAGCGGATCCAGGATTTAATTTTGGGAGGGGCTTCAGCCCGAAAGATTTTTTTTTCATATACATATAACAATAATTAGTTACTTATGTGAAATGGTGTTTGAGTGGTTCTTGAAGTCCTGTTAAATGTAATTAAACGAACAAGAATAATTTAAGAGGTAGTTTTTAATATTTTTTTCTGTAAAACATGGTTATATTTTACCATTTTGAGGAGAGGAGGCTTTGGGGGCAGCCCGAAAGCCCTCCCCCCCCTTAGATCCGCCTGTGAGGAGTGAGGACATGTATAGAAATTTCTTTATTGCTATATGCTTGTCTTACTTAAATACGATTATTTGTTGACACAATCTGGAAGCATTACAAGCAAAAATCTTTGATGGATCTATTATTGCTTCCTCACTACCGAAGGTAAGAATAAGAAAGGATTGTATTCGTGCGAGTTAAAAAACATTTTTTGCTCAGAATCGAAAATTTTCACTCGTCTTTTACGTTTCAGACATCAAGGATCAAATTCAGTTCGGTGTCTGTCTGTCCCTCTTCCTGTCTGTAGTTAAATCGATGTAACGGGCATATCGCCTACTACCGTTTATTCGATTTTCATGAAATTTTAGGGGATTGTGCGGGTCGGTGCCTAAATGGTCCCATATCAATTTTATCAAATTTCATGCAGCACTTCCGCTTGCGCACGCGTAAGTTTATTTTCTTAAGTATGCGAATATTTCAAAAAAAGCTCGTTTGATTTGGATAAAAATTGAAAGCAATGTGGAATGGCTTCTCTCAGAAATTTCATTCTCATACGAAAAATTTTAGACCTTGTAATATGGATATTTTATGCCAATGAAAACGGTGAGGAAGCTATATTAGCCTTATTTGGCAGACTTTTTTTTTGTTTTTGTTTGTGCTGGTAAATAAATTAGGAAATATATTTCTATAAAGCCATGAAGCAAATAAAATGTTCATGAAATACAAAGCTGGTTTGTTTGCGGCGAGATTAATAGTATAAATAAAATCCAGAGATGTACTTTCTAACACTGTACTAATGGTTAAGAAAACACATATTGTTACAATGTCCATTCAAATGTTAAACATTCAAAATGTTTTTTCCTGATAAATTCGCAGTCTGACCCACTGGCCCATTGGCATTTATAATAAACAGATATTGAACAATTTACCGATTTTGTATTATTAATGATATGCTCCTCAAAAACAATTATTTATCATTAATGAAACTAAAACTTTTAATTACAAAATGTAAAAACAAAACTTATCATAGATAGTAATAAAAGAAACTTTTCAAAGTCATATTTGCCTTCAAATTATGGTATGATTAAAAAAACAAACTAATGTTAAAAATGAAAAAAATAAGATAGTTACACTGGTCTACAAAGTTTTGCTTTTGTTTTTTTAGCCTTTTTCGTTGGAGCATCTTTACAAAAAGTTGGACGCTTTTCTCTGAAAATATAAATTAGTTTTTAGAAATATGTATAAATAATTATCATAATTATTAATCATTCAATGTAAGAATTAATGCATGCCTTATTTAAATGATAGATGAGTACATTGTCAGTTTGTTGCAGAAAGTATTTACATACATTTTTGATTGAGCTAACCTTTTAACTATATATTTTTGAATTTCGATCATATATGGATGCGAAATCACACCAAACTTAAACAAACCCTTTTATATGCAAAAAATAGGTAGGTGCAAAATGTTATGTTTTTATAGAGATTAAATTCATCAAAGTAATTAGTGATTTAATTCTATACAATGTTACTTAATGATTTTTGCAATAAACCGACGATATAGCTAATAAAGGCACTATTAATAACAATAAAAGAAATAGGTACTATATGTTAGTGATCATATCCTCCTTTACTTGTTACTGATCTCTTATCACTGCTTGCCAGCAGATCCGTTCTAAGGCATTTAGAGGCCTTAAGGCATAGATTGCCCAACAAATTTATAACCCGTGCCACAATCAACGGGTTTCCCTTATTCTGGCAAGCTGCATCTTTACCCCAGACAGTCATACACTCCCAGGTCAGAGATGGGCAAATGATACTCGGTACACAGAGTTCTTCCATGTGAGTAAAATACTTGGTACTCGGTACACCGATTACCAAGTATTTTACTTAAATTGAATCGCTATTGGAAATTCAATCACTACTCCTTTGACATCAACTGAAGTAGTAATTGAATTCTTCAGTACTCAAAAAACATTACTTACATACTCATTACTTAGAGTAGGATTTGCCCATCACTGTCCCATATTCAGATTAATTATGCTTATATGTAGTTTATACACTTGATTTTTAATAGATTTTTTCCCCTTTGAAAATTTATCTATATAATGAAAACAATTAATAACTACTATACAATTAAATGTATATATTGTTATAATACTTTTATCACCTGTTAAAAACATGCCGTGTCTAACACACCCTCCCTTTCATCACTAACAGATTATTTAAAGTTTTTCTTTTTAAATGTTTTTTGTTGAGTATATCGTCCTGACTCCTTTCTTCCTCCCGCGTTTAGAAATAGACCATTGAAAAGTAATTTGTGCAAATATTTTGATCTATTATGTTAAATGATGAAATATTGTATTCGAACAAGGAAAACAAAAGTAATTCCTTAATTTTTTCTTAGTCATTAACATTGTTTTAACTTCCTCCACTTTAATTTAAAAAAAAAAGTCTTAAGAAGACGTCCTTAAGAAATACTGCTAGTTCCAGTAGCATAGCCATTTTAAATTAATAAAATATAGTTCTTTTGTTGGTACCTTTTATATTTTTTTCATAATATAGAAAATCCTTTTATTGAGACCTTATTTTGAATATGTTTGGTAATATTCAGCGTTTAGAAATAGGCCATTGAAAAGTAATTTGTAAAAATATTTTGGTCTATTATGTCAAATGATGAAATATTGTATTCGACCAAGGAAAACAAAAGTAATTCCTTAATTTTTTCTTAGTCGTTAACATTGTTTTAACTTCCTCCACTTTAATTTAAAAAAAAAAAGTCTTAAGAAGACGTCCTGAAGAAATACTGCTAATTCCAGTAGCATAGCCATTTTAAATTAATAAAATCTAATTCAAATCATGTTTCTACCAAGAAAATTAATATCATTGAGAAACTTACAAGGTGAGGTTACGGAGGTGGGGTCACCGATTTCAATGAAACTTTTATTGATGACACTAGATCGAAAAATATTAGACACCCATGTCAAACCTGACTCTTGCCAATGCGTTCTAGGAACCGAGGAAAAAAACATATTTTATGAAATGTTATTATTTTTTTATGTTACTGGTTTCTAATTTGGCTCTGAATGGATTTATAAGTTATTATATATTAATCGATTTGTTTTTTGTGTAATATAAGAAAAACGTATTGCTGATTGTACTGAACGAATTATAAGGTATAAAAACCTATAGACGCTTCCGGTACAGTAGGCCAAGTAAATTTTTGTCATGAAAAACGACTCTGGTTCGTTTTTAGGGTCCACTAAAACTCTTAAATACGAGTTTGTTTTGAATTAAAAAAATATAAATTTTTGGGTTTAATTTTATTGTAGGATTTTTTTTCATGCCGTTTACTAAAATCTTCATAACTTCTCAGGTTTTTCTCTTACGTCGACGTTGGTACAACCATTGGAAATTTAAATTATTGATCTTCAAAACTATATAGAAAACTTTAAGATTCTACATTTTTATAAGGAATAAATAAATAAAGCTCCCCAAACTAGACCTACGAAGAACGTGAGTTATGGGAAAAATAAGTGTTTCTCCAAAGAAGAGCGCTCTCTGATTTCTTCACCCCACAAGGACGGGATGAGTTGTAGAGAAATAGCCCGCATAATCAAGCGAAGTTTTTCATCGGTCGTGAAGTTTATTCGGCACGGAGATACATATGGAACCCACCGTTCTACTTGGAGGCCCTCGGCTTTGACATTACGAGAGGAACGGAATATTCTTCGAATCGCATCCAACTCTTGTAAAACAGCAAGAGTAATTGCTGAAGAAGCTGGAGTTCGAACAAACCTAAGGATTGTCCAAAGATTATTAAAAAAGTCAAAAACAATAGTTAGAAAATAATTGAAAAGAAAGCTAGTTTTGAGTACCCGTCACAAATTAGCCCGGATGGCCTTTGCTCGTAATGTGATGTCATGGACTGAGGAGTGGAAGAAAGCCATCTTTAGTGGTTAAAAAAAAAATTCAATCTGGACGGGCCAGATGAATTTTCGTAATATTTTCATGTCTTAAGAAAAGAAGAAAACATTTTATCAAGACGTCAAATGAAAGGATGAAAAGTTATGGTTTGGGCATCAATTGGTTACAAAAAGAAAGGAAATTTGGTACTTCTTCTTCAAGAGTAAACTCAGATGAGTATAAAAATTTGTTAGAGGAACAAAAATTCTGACATTTCTGAAGGCACACCAGATTTCCAGTACGATAACGCCCCAATACATTCAGCAAAAATTATTAAAGATCGGTTTACTAGCAATAAAATTGTCAAATTAGACTGACCTGCTGTCTCCCCAGACCTGAACATTATCGAAAATGTTTGGGGAACTCTTTCAAGAAGGGTGTACTCTGAGTCTAGACGGTTCGGAACAGTCGAATATTTGAAATCTACAATTCTGGCTTCATGGGAACAATTACCTCAAGAAACAATCAAACAATTGTAAGATTCATTACCAAACTGAATTTCTGAATTAATAAATGGTGGTGTAAAGGCCACGAAGTATTAAAATGAGTTTTATTTATTTTTACCAGGGAGCGTGTCTAACATTTTGACGGGCCATAAATGATACTTTAATTTGAAAGATAAAAAAAAATGTATATATTTTTGGCTTGAGAAGCAAAATACAAGCAGGCTGCTGATTAACTTCAGGTGAGCGATTTTTTTGAAGCGTGTCTAACATTTCGACACGCTGTATTTCAGTGTATATCGATAAGAAAAAGATCAATACTTTTTCTCTGCTTATTTTTTTCTTTTCTTCAGATTTTTATTTCTACTTTTCATTGAGATTATATTTATACGTGAGAAGATTTTATTATTTGTTGCTTATATATTATTGTTATTAAAGTTATCCATCTATCTACCCATCTACCTATCTATCAATCTTAATATATACACACACACACAAATATATATATATATATATATATATATATATATATATATATATATATATAATATATATACGAAATGCACTGAAACTTGTTCGCAATTGTGTTTCATAGAAAGCAAACCTAGGTATAGAATCTCAGCTCGTTTAATCCAAAGAAGGACATCCGAAAACGTAGCAAGAGTGCAATAGTCAATTATTGGCAGAATTACCATTAAAAACTTGAACATATCGTCAGAAAACATGAAATTCACGTAGTTGCTGACGGATCACTTAAATATATTCTTATTATTATTATTTTATTTATTTATTTTTTCATTTGATTTGATTTCATTTTAAATTCATTTGTTTATTAATCTCAATTCATTTATTGATTCTACTGATATTTTTAAAGTTTATTTATTTATACATTTTTTATACATATTATTACCTATAAATGTCTATTATTATCCTTATTTATTTATTTTATTCTATCAATCCATTTCTCTATTTATTTTATTTTATTTTTATTTTTTTTATTTATTTTTTTTTTTTGTACCAACCATCCAAATAGAATTAAGTGATGTTATTTAGTTGATCGGGCGCTTATGACCTGGATGCTTTGCGCCTAGACATTGAAACAAACAAACAAACAAACTTAAATATATTGCCCCGGGCATTATTAATAATATAATACTTATTAATGTAAAATGCCTTACCTTTGTGGCGGTGGACACCATTCTTCCCTTGGAGGTCTGAAATCGAAAATATATCAATTATAAGATATCACGTGCCCGGGAAGATTTAGATAATATTTACAATATTGGTCTGACATTAGTCTATGGTTACAATGGAAATAATTATATTCAGATGGACAAGCAGCTCTTATATGACCCTTTGGACAGTTCAGATTTTTTCAATATGGAAAGACCAGTTGGCAGCATTACGGTTCGCAATCACCTAGACATCTTATGCAACAATTAATTATTTTGCACCTCAATTATACATTTTTAAATGAATGTCGTATTATTGTGAATTTTCCCATCATGCGTGGACTCATCGCTAAAATGTAATCCATCCAACTTAATTTACTTTCATTGTAGGCATTTTATTTTCTCATGTTCTTTTCGATATGTCCCATCTTTCTTTAATCAATCTTTGTCGAGTATTTTTATTATTCTATATTACCACGTTTCTGGCTATTGTCAGTTTTGAAGCGAGTGGGGTACTAGAAATGGCATTTATATGTTTTCATATTTAATTTGATTCTGCTATATATATTTCTGTTTGAATAGTATATTCATTTTGATTGGATCTGTTTAAAAATATCATATACCGCATATATCTTCTCCATGTATTTTCTCTGGACATACTTTTTTAAAGAACTCACCAAGAACCAATACCCTCCGACTCCCATCCAAAAATATTTGCTTCTAAATTTTCAATTTAAAGTTGAAATTGGTCCGGCTCTTTTTGATCTTATGAAGTAGCCAAGTTTATCTTTATGACATACTAAGAGGTATGTCAGCAAGAAGTTTATCTTTCGCCATTTATGAAACAGGGAATGGAGGTTCTATCATTTAGATAATGGACTCTGGTCCGCATTTACCAGTTCAACAGCAATATTTCGTGGTGGCAATATTTAATTTTTTGTGCAAAAGACTGACTCAGTTTCAATTCACATATCAGCACTCTTGGATACATAGAAATATTTATATTTCAATAATATGTTTAGTTGTTTCCTCATATATTTATTTCTGATGGCTATATTAATTGATTTATTAGGTAATTATTATATCTTTATATCATGTTTAATAAAATATTTTTGTTAATTACCTTCTGTACCAGTCAGGGATAGCCAGAAGAGGGTTTCATGGCTCAAGTTGCGAATTTTCAAAATGAAAAGTTTCAAATTAAAATACAAGTGGAAGCATGGAACAGACCCCAGTATGTGTAATTGTATGCAATCTACGAATATTTAAATTCTACTTTCGATTGCACTCTCTTTAAGAAGAAGAGAGGAATAAAATATCATGGGAGTGGTGGGGGAAGCATAATGCGTCATCGGCCTTGGAGGGGGGAGGGAGGGGGAGGAGATGGGCATCCCTAGTACCAGTAATATATTGTATTCAAATTCCTGCAGACGGATTTCCATGCTGTAACATATTTTGTATTTTTCGTTGCTAAAACTTTTATTATATATCCAAGGAACTATTTATTATTAATAATATTTTAATATTTATTATAAGGTGTTTTTTTTTCACAAAGCCCTAACTTCGTCAATTCTTCATCAAATATAACTATTGAGCCCTAATTTTGAAGATCTTCTCCTTCAGGTAGGAAAAATAGTCACCTTCCTCCGAAATTAAAAAAAAAAGTTATGAAGGAAAAGAAACTTTATTTGTGAATAACTCAAAAACTATGCATTTTTTTCTAAACTGTACCCGCAATTGAATGAAAGATTACTTAAGTCCCTACAAGATGTAAGGAAATAATAAAAATCGGACCATTATTACCAAAGATACAGTCCATTAGATTTGATATTCATAAAACTTTCTTCCTCTTCGAAGATACCGTTTGTTTCTGGCTAATATATAGACTGCGTTATTTCTTAAAACCTTTTTTTTTTGTTAGTACCTTTGGTATTTTTTAATAATATAGAAAATCCTTTTATTGGGACCTTATTTTGAATATATTCAATATTGAGCGTTTAGAAATAGGCCCTTGAAAAGTAATTAGTACAAATATTTTGGTCTATTATGTTAAATGATGTAATATTGTAATTCCTTCCACGCAAAGTACACAAGATCTATTTATTTGCGTATTATTTCTCTATTTCTTCACTAAACAATATATCCTGGTATTTATTCGTACGGGCCAACTAGATATTAATAATACAATAATGATCAATATAATAGAAATACCTTGGCGGTGGAGATTTTTCTTTCTTAACTGGTGGACACCATTCTTCCATTGGAGGTCTGAAATTGAGAATATATCAGTTGTAAATTGTTTCATTCAGCATATCCTTTGCTCGCATTTTTGTACACAATACTGACTCTACTGTTATTTCATAAAATATATTTCAATTTGAAAATCAGCACGCTTGGATACATAATAATATTTATATTTCTTATTTTCAATAATATTTTTAGTTGTTTATTCTGTTATCATATTTATTTCTGCCAGACTTACTAACCAATTCATTAGGTAATAATTACTATATCTTTATGCCATGTTTTAATATACTGTTATTGTTGATTATCTACTGTATCAGTAATATATTGTATAACATTTAGGGCAGACGGATTTTCGTGCCGTAAAATGTGTTTTATTTTTCATTACTAAAATTTTTATTATATATTCAATTACGGATTAATAATATTACAATATTGGATAATGTAATATGAAATACCTTGGTGGTGGAGATTTTTCTTTTTGAACTGGTGGACACCATTCTTCCTTTGGAACTCTGAAATGAGAATCAAATGTGAACATGTTTCATACATCATATTCTGAGCTCGGGAAATGCTTTGATCAAACGTACAATATTAGCCTGATGATATTTTGTTTCTAATTAATAAGATTAAAAAGATAGTTTTAAATTCATCTCAGGAGTTGAAACTGATACGGATTCGGGCTCAATGAATAACAAAAATAGAATTGTGATATTACACTCTTTAAACATTAATATTTAAATTTAGCCTTGAACATTTACATTATTGTATACAAACACATCTCGATTTCAAGAAATAATGACTTATAAAAAGACCTGATTAGCTCCGAAAAGACATCCATTTAAATATAAAAAACCTGATGCGCTCAATACACAACTTTCACTTAACACTCTTGAAGAGACATTATTTTCTGGCAATATTCGGATATTATAAAATGTTTGAAGTGCATTTTTAACGGAGCTACATCTTAATGCTTACATCTAACAACTCATTAAGACCATTAAAATAATAAAAACCCTATTAATTATATTAACGGTAGGCAATAAATATCTCGTTGCTCCATTTGTTTTTGTAAATCGCATCACTCCAGTCTCTGAGGTATATATACATGCCTAGAGAGTTTCGAAAGTATATTTGTATATTCAACCTATAATTGATTATAAATTGTAGGCCTATTAGTTATTAAACTGTTCTTTTCCATTGTAAAGTTTACTAAAATGAAATTACGAGATTGTTATTGCCTGCAATAGATAGGCCAAAAGTTGTCCCAGTAGTATGGAATTCACAAAGGGAAACTTCATAAAATTATTCACTAAATTAATTTTCTAAAAGTTTACTTGGCAGTTTTTCGGAATAAACGGACGTTGATAAATAATTATTTAAATAAAATATCAGATATAGAGTTATTAAATTATAGTAAATGTATTTAATGCTACAAACATATGCTTTATACGTCCATGAAACATTGGTGGATCTTGGCCTCCTCTAAGAGCTTCCGCCATCCAGCTCGATCCATTGCCACGCCTTCCAGTTCGGTGATCCTGACAGTGATCTGGAGTCAGCCGCCACGCAATCCATTTATCTTAGCCTGGGCCTGCCTCCCCTCCTGGTGCAGTCAATCCTAACCTCAAGGACACTTATGGGAATATCACAATCCTCCATCCGAATCACATGGCCAGCACAACTTCCAAGCTAGATGAAGTCGACGACATTTATTTCATTATAGAGAGTGTATAAGTCCCGGTTTTTTTCGTCTACTCCAAACTTCTGCTTCTTTCACAGGGCCTTATATTCATCGCAAAATTTTCCGTTGGAATACAAGAATTCTATCCTCATCGGTCTTTGTCATTGTCTATGTTTGTGAGGCATAGGTCAATACCGGCCTAGGTAAAGTTATGTGTAGTCTTGCCTTAGTCTGCTTTTTGAGTAAGTGACTCCTGATCTGCCTCCTTAAGCCAAAATAGCAATGGTTGGCTGCTGCTATCCTCTTTCCTATTTCCTTCTACATGTCATTGTCGACTTCACAAGGGAAGCGAGGTAAGTAAACTCCTGCACTCTATGTAATTTGTATGGGCCTGTTTCCATGGAACTTGATCCTTTCTGAACTCCATCGGCCTTCAGCACCATATATTTAGTTTTAGCCTCATTTATTTCAAGGCTGAGGTTTTTTAACAATGTCATTGCCTTGATTCCGTGGATTTTAAATACTTTTTTTTTCAAACTCAATAAAAAATATATAAAAGTTTACATTTGTTGGTAAAATTCATTTAATTTACTTGGAAACATATAATTTCATTTAAATAATATTAGTTTTCACAAATTATTATTTATAAGTTATCGTCACTCTCTGTCACCTTCTGCGACTTTCTATATTAGATATTGTTTTTTCTAAAATTCTCCGCTTTCTAACGGTATTGTATGCGTACACCAAAACGTGTATTTCCATTGAAAACTCGTTAGATTTGAAATTTGAAAGTTTTAACGATCAAAATATTTTCTCTTATTATATATCACATATATAGGTAAGTAAAAGTAATAATAAGTATTAAGTCGGAAGGGCAATCTTTCTCGGTGTTTAAAGTGGCATCTTTCCAAAGAATAAGAAATAATATATACTGGAAAGAAAAAAACATTTCCAATTAAAGACCGGAAGTAAAACATATTATGACATAGTAGCCAAATTTCAGAATAAAAGGAGGTGAATGCCATAAAGACTAAAATAATTATATTTAAGAAAATTTGAGGAGCTTGCTATAAGAAGTGCACATCACCAAAACTGAGATTTGGTAGTATGGTATATTTCTAAAACTTGAATGTAATTTTCGCCGCAGTTCTGTCCGAAATGTTATCACAGGTTATTTATTGACAACAATTGTTTTCTCCCATGCATAATGAAAACCACCAAATGGTCTTCAATCTAGTGTTTAATTAACACTTCGTAAACAAAATTGGACATCCTGAACTGAGATAGAGATTGCCCGTAAAATTACTTCGGAAAAATAAAGGATAAAATAATATTAAATTTCAACTAAAATCAGGCTTCCCCAGTTTCTGAATCGCAAATACTGGAAACATTAAGTGAATAAACTATCGATATTGAGAAGAGGAGTTCCTCAGAGAGGAACTGGAAGCAAACCTGGAAAACGGGAGATAACAAGACGAAGAACTGGCGGACTGATCTGGGACTTCTAAAACCAGAGGAGTCTACGAAAGGTCGTGATGACCGAGCGAGTTAGAACGTTGCCCGCATTAATATTCTCGAGTCGAAGCCGATTCGGATACGATCAGGATAGGTGGTTATTTACTTCGTAGCCGACCCAAGGAATGAATCTTGACCGTCCAGCTCTGATCAGAACATATTTAATTCTACCTTGGCTGTACAACCTTGCTCTTCCTTTCGTATGAGCTATAAACGCTGAGGTAGGGGATAATCCAAAAAAAAACAAAAGGAGTCTACGGATAGACAAGATTTTTCTATACATCCAAAAAAAAAGAGTCAGTCCTCTCCAAATAGTAAAGGAATAGAAGAGGTATTAAATAAAGTAGGAAGGATCGGTAAAGTTCCAAAGTGAGTGACCGAGGTAACAGAAACAATGTTGACTTTATTAGCTAAACGAAGCCGGTAAAATTTCTCCTTCTATGTACACCAATCATCCCTGGATAGAAAATTTGTGTAGGTAAAAATCGTAATATGTTACCTATATTAAATATATCTACACTAAAGTCACTTGCGATATGAATGGCGTCAGTAACCGAAAGAGTGCTTTGTGCCCAAAACTGTCTTTTTGTACGCAATATTTAGACTTTAAAATTTAACTTTAACTTCTGTACAGATAATTTCAAAAAAGTAATGTATGAATAATAATGCTTTATTTATTCCGAAGCCAACAGAAACGTTGGCTTCGGAGTCTCAGAGATATATAAAAATAATCACAAAGTAAATAAATAGACATAAATAAAAAGTATAAGTTACCTTCTAACTTCAATCAATTAAGAAAAAAAAAACATGAAATAAAAATAATTAAGAACGATCTAGCAATTTATATACATATTTACAGTAAAATGTATTTACAATTTTATTGAGATTGGATGGATAGGAAGTGAGTAAATAAGCGAGATTCAAAGTTAGGAAGGGTTTTAGAGCGGCGGATTTAAAAAGGGATGAGCTCCATAGGAATGAGGATCGAATAATGAAAAATTTGTCGAAAGCAATGGTTCGGTGGACCCTTAAATCTGAAGACCGGGAACGGGTATGTGGGAGCGAACAGAGGATTTGAATTGAAGGAGTTCGGAGATGTATGATGGACGGTGAAATTGGATGACTCGGAAGAGGAAGGATGCCAGGAAATACTTGCGACGGTAGGAAGGGACCCACTTCAACTCTTCATAAAAACGGGAAACAGAGGAGTTCTTTGGGATCTCAAAGATAAATCATATATAACAATTTATCAAAAGTTTCGCCTCAAGATTTTCAGGGACGCCCCATGTACTGTACATCCGTAGTCAAAGTAAGGAAATGACCAGAAATCTACAGGTTTCAAATGGAAATAGAGGACCGAAGTAATTTAGATGTTTTATAGTAGGATAGGTACAGCAGGAGATATTGGCTATATGTTTTTTTTTTCAGATAAGCTTTTGATCAAAGGTCATTCCAAGAAGGAAAGGAAGGTCATTATTGAACATAGCAAACAGAGTAGGCATAGAGAAGAAGCTTGAGGGACACCACAGGAGAGGAAGTGTCTTAGGTGGAGATTGACCTGGGACGACTACATACTGGGACCAATCTAAGAACAAGGATTTGAACCAACACAGGACACGATTAAGTAGAGGAAGGTTTTGCTATTTAGTAAGGATGATGTTATGGTCAACTGCTTCAAACGCCGCAATGGAAAAATCTAGAAGGATGAGGATAGTAAGGTTTTGGTGTTCAATGAAGTTTGCAGGTCATGGTTGATTTTAAGGAGGGAAGATTGCGTTAAGTAACCAGGTCGAAAGGCAGATGGCAATGAGTTGAAGAGAAAAAGCTCTTTTAGGAAAGTTGATTTTAGCAAGGCGTTCCAACAGTTTTTCATCCAACTCTATAAATGGTGGCTTTTTAATTACTAATGTTTAAATATGCAAAAATCATCAAATGAAACGATATATTGCTAAAAACATACTAATAAAAATTACAATACTCGTATATTTGGAATATTATACCTGTATGCAGCTGCTGTACACTTTATAGATTCAGTTGAGTACGTACATCCTGTTTCAATTCTGAAATCGACAATATAATATTCATCATCAAACATTTTGTGCTACGCATTACTGTTTTGGAACCAGTTTAAATTTAAATTTCCAGACAATATGATTTTTTACTATAATTTAATTAATATAGTACAAATGTCATGGCATAAGTGGCGACCCGCTGCTCGGTCATAGTAACGCATATATACATATATACTGTCAACAGCATACCTCACCCACCCTCACGTTACAGACCGAGGGAACACACATTACACTCCCTAGGGTC